GGGCCATATAGTAGTAGGTGAGATGATCAGGTGTCCACCTTCTTTGGGCCATATAATAGTAGGTGTGATGATTAGATATCCACCTTTTTTGGGCCATATAGTAGTATGTGAGATGATCAGGTGTCCATCTTCTTTGGGCCATATAATAGTAGGTGTGATGATCAGGTGTCCACCTACCTTTGGCCATATAGTAGTAGATGTGATGATCAGGTGTCCACCTTCTTTGGGCCATATAGTGGTAGGTGTGATGATCAGGTGTCCACCTTCTTTGGGCCATATAGTAGTAGGTGAGATGATCAGGTGTCCACCTTTTTTGGGCCATATAGTAGTAGGTGTGATGATCAGGTATCCACCTTCTTTTGGCCATATAGTACTAGGTGAGATGATCAGGTGTCCACCTTCTTTGGGCCATATAGTAGTAGATGTAGGTGAGATGGTCAGATGTCCACCTTCTTTTGGCCATATAGTCCTAGGTGTGATGGTCAGGTGTCCAACTTCTTTTGGCCATATAATAGTAGGTGTGATGATCAGGTGTCCACCTTCTTTTGGCCATATAGTAGTAGGTGTGATGACAGGTGTCCACCTTCGTTTGGCCATATAATACTAGGTGAGATGGTCAGTTGTCCACCTTCTTTGGGCCATATAGTAGTAGGTGTGATGACCAAGTGTCCACCTTCTTTTGGCCATATAGTAGTAGGTGTGATGACAGGTGTCCACCTTCTTTTGGCCATATAGTACTAGGTGAGATGGTCAGTTGTCCACCTTCTTTTGGCCATATAGTGGTAGGTGTGATGATCAGGTGTCCACCTAATGGTCAGGTTTCCATTTAATTTTGGCCATGTTACATATCAGATTTTTATTAAACATGAACAATATTTTGGGAAGCAAAGATGTCTAATTATCAGCCGACGTGGCAGGCACCACCTTCCCACTTGTGGTTCCTCTATTTGAATAACAAAGGAGAACAAGAACTGTCATAACGAGAGATAAATTATGGGGCATGTGTTGTTGAACGTTTGCCGCGTCCAGTGCAATTGTGGTAAACGCCGGATTGAGAAACATCACAAACCTGTTTAACAAGAAAACGAGCCTGTTCTAATATATGTTTTCTGTCCTGAGCTTAACGACAATGTTCAACATATTGTTGAATGGGATGAGGAAGTGTGCAAGCAGGCAGAAATTGTAGATCAAAATTACACATGAAATGAGTTCAGAGTGTTCGGTTTCCAGACACCGCCAAATCCATTAAAGGAGTATTCCACCTCGTAGCAAAGCTGGAAATTGTTTTAAAGCATGCACCTGTTAAAACCATTAAGTATAACCAGTAAAAGCAACTCTCTACTCAAATGTAAGTCTAAAGTAGGGGTCCTACTGGAACTTCCACCTGAAACTGGAATTTCCACCAAGCCACATATGAGTCTCATAAGGTTTAGGTTCCAGACCCACCACTGGGTCACTGGTACTTCTGGAACTTCCATTGATTGTTCCTTAGCAAGAGCTGTCCAGCTTCCTCATTGACCACCTTCACGACCAATCAGGAAGCCAGGCAGCAAGTCATTACGCGCTGCCCGGCTTCCTGATTGGCCGCCCCATGCTCCCTCATCACCAAGTCACGCTGCCCGGCTTCCTGATACTGTAAGTTCGGGTATCGGGCTAGGCATCTGAGCGAGTATGAGTACTCGTCCAAATACTCGGTATCAGCACTGATACTGATGCTAGTATCGGTACATCCCTATCGTTCACTATTCCATGCGGAGGACTATCTTTTGCTCCCCCTTTTGTGGGGGGTTAATGGATAGACCGTGGTTTTGGAACCGGATCTCCAACCAGGTAAGATAGGCGTAGGTGTCAAATAGGTCTTTTGGCCATAAAATGTAAGAATCATTTTGGATGGAAGTTCTTTGAATCTGGTATGTCTTTCTTTCTGTGTGTTTTGTCATGGTTTCACTTTCTGTCAGGTCTTTGCTGTTGTCACCCTGACAGGAAGAACTCTCCTATCTTTAGTCATGGAAGGCTGACCTGGTGAGCTTTCAATGCTACCAGGGAAATCTCTTCACACACCTAAGGATTGCTCACTAGCAGGAAGTTGGGATAAAGGTGTTACATCACCTTTACTGCTGCGAGAATTCCCTAAAAAGAAGTGAATGAATAACCTTGAGGGTGGTAACATGCGCCAGGCACGGATTGACTTTGATGCGGTCCGGACTTATAATGGAGTGTGAAATAACACAACGGGTCACTTGGGAGCTGCGGTCACAAGGCGCCACAGAAAGACTTCTAACCATGAAATTGTGGGTGCTCACCGAGGGTTACGGAACGTTTACATTCAGGCTAGCTGGGAAAGGCCGGCCTCTTCTATAGGCAGTGTTCAGGTTTATAACCGGTGACTCCAACAGATGGCAGCCAAGCAACCAAACATAATAAAGAAGATAGCAGTTTAACCGTTTAATGGCTGTTCTATGCGTGTTATTGCTTTCAGATCCACCAAGTTCACCAGTAACAGTTACAGACGGGCTCCAGGCAGACACAAATTATCTCTGGTCTTGACTATTGTAACTTCCCTTCTAGTTGGCTGACCTCTACACAGGCTCCTCCCCCC